AGGAGAGTTGCTTCGAACTGGGTTAACAATTTATGTGTGTTGTTTATGCTTTTCAGTACTATTTTTGTTGATACCTTTCTTGTTTGTTTATGTCGGGTCAGATGTCCCAACATGTCATAGGACATCTGAGTTCTGTCATACCAGAATCTCACTTGCGTTACTTGTGCAATACACGATCGATTTTTGGTGTTAAGTATTGGTATTGTGAATAGATTCATGAAGAAACCAAAGGTGTCTCACTTGGCAGCAGTCAAGAGGATTCTAAGATACGCCAAAGGATCTATTGATTGTAAAATTCTCTTTACTACAGTGGACATGGGCATAAAATACAATTTGCTCGATTTTACCGATTACAATTGGTACAAAGATAAAGATGATCAAAAGTCTATACCTGAATACATATTTATGTTTAGTGGAACACCAATCTCATGGTGTTCAAAGAAGGAACCAGTAGTATCACTCTTATCTTGTGAGGCCAAGTACATTGTCACTCCATTGTCTGCATGTCAAGCCGTGCGATTGATGAATCTATTGAAGGAGCTAGGCATCAATGAGGGAGACACTGTAACACTCATTGATAACGTTTCCGCTATAAAATTTGCTAATAACCCAATTGCAGATGGGATGAGCAAACATATTGAGTTGATGTATCACTACTTGAGAGAGCTTATTAGTTAATGAATGTTAAGATTGAGATATTGTAGAAGTGAAGACCAAGTGGATGATTTATTAGGGCATTGAGGACTTGGAGAACTTGAGTTAAGGTGACACGTTAAGTGAAAATACATAATTCAAGTGTTGTAACCACTTACCACAGGCGTGTAACCGATTATAGGGATGTGAAAAGTCAAATTAGTTGAGAAAAAGTGATTTTCTCGTGGGTGTAGCCGCTGACGCATTCGCAGTAACCGATTACCACTAATAGTATTTTTGGTAGCAGTTGTAACCAATTATAGGTTTTGTGTAAATGGTTTCAGGTACGCAATTTTTATTTTTTTTCTTTCTCTTATTTGACTTGTTGTTTATGTTTCAATCCACTTGTAATTGTTTAAACACCTTGGAGGTATCATTATCAATGTTAAGTGTATATTCTCACCCTTAACTATATTTTCTCACTCTTTCACACTTTCCACATTCAAACCCTTTATTTCCACCCACCGATTCCAAATTATAACATTTATCTTAACTTATTCTCCATGTAAATGGTGTTTAGTTCAACATTAACAGTTGAAAATATCTAAATGATAAACTGAGTTGAATACCATTTTTAGTTAAGGTTGGTCCTGATTTTAGAGGCTTAGGACAACTAACAAAAATTGACCTCTAATAAAAAACTGATAAACTAACCTTGATTTTTTATCTTTCTTTTTAGAGTTATTTTTTTCCTTTTGTTTGAGAGAGAGAGAGAGAGAGAGAGAGAGAGAGAGAGAGAGAGAGAGAGAGAGAGAGAGGAGAAGGTCATTGTCAGACTCAAAAGAAAGGGCGGTGGTTGTGGTTAGGGGTGGCAAAACGGATCGCCTGCCTCGCCCCTCCCCGTCTTAAGCCCGCTAAAAGAGAGGGGCGGGCAAACCCGCCTAGTGAAAATGGACATAAAAATATAGCTTGCCCCACCAAGGTGGCGGGTTGGCAGAGGCAGGCTTGCCCGCTTAGCTATTTATTTATTTATTTATTCATTTTTTAATATATTAAAATGATTTTTTTACATTTCAATTAGATTTTTCACTTATTTTTTAAAACGATTTTTTATAAAACATCTTTTTAACAAATATTACTTTAAAAAATATTACATATATTCACAAATAAATGTATAAAATAAAACCATCAAGAATTGGACCTACTAGAAATAACTAAAAAAAAGGCTGACTTAAGGTGGAACAAGCTGAACGAATAGGTGCGGCGGGTTTTGACGGGCGGCAGATTTCGGCGGGACGGACTTTGGCGAGCGACAGTCTTTAGCAGAGCAATCTTTGATGAACGGCGGGTCCAAAATTCCAACTTAACCTATTTTTTTTTTGCGGATACGCGGACCGACCTGACAGGCCACAACCCATTTTGCCACCCCTAGTTGTGGTTGTCACTAGAGGTGGCAGAGGCGCGGTTGTAATAGATGGCGCTGCGGTTGTAATAGATGGCGCTTTGGATGAAAAAGTTCGACGGTGAAGAGTTAAATGGAAATAGATACATGAAAATATATTGATGAAGATATGTAAATTTTACATTAACATTGATGCAATCAAATAAAATCAAATCAATATATGTTAGAAAGTGTTACACAAAAATAATTATTGAAGATCTATTTTGACAAATGATAATGAGTTGTATTTTAACATAAAAATTTAATGATAAATAATATGACCGTATGATGATTTTTTAAATATTTAATTAAAAATAATTTTAAAATTCATAAAAAAATATTCAAATAAAATTTAAAAATTATAATAAATAATCTTTAAGAATAAAGCTTGACTTGGTGGCCCATTATCAATTTCAAAAACTTATATTAAAAAAATCTTGTAGTTGAAGATATAAAATGAAATTAATGCATTAAATTTTGTAAAATTATAAAATGAAAATATGATCCATCAAGAACAAAGTTTGATTTAAGAATCCATTATAAATCTCGAGAGCTCACTATGAATTTTAAAAAATTATATTAAAAAAATTATTTGTAATTGAAGATATAAAATGAAAGAAAATCATATCTAATCTTATAATATTTCTCTATTAATTTATTCAAACACTAAATATATAAAGCACACATGGCTAGGATGATACCCCTTTTACTAAAGTCATGTCATTTTTTGGATGAGGTTATGAAGATATTCTTTTACAAATGAAGAAAATAAACATCTATCTATAGTATAGCATTATTATGAGGTTCATTTCATGACGTTGTTTATTTGCAGATTTTTTCAAGTAAAATGAATGCTTTGATGTAAACTTATTGTGCCAGCATTTAATTTTTATGCCACTCACTGCTGACACATTACTTAAATTGAGAGGTAACGTAATGAAATGGACCTTATTAACGTGATAGTGACATATCGTTTACATGAGTTATCTTACGATATTTAATAATATCATTTATTAAAAGATTATTATTTAAAAATATTATTAAAAACAATTAGACTAAAAATAAAAGCGTATGGACGAAAGATAGACAAATATTTATTGTCATAACCTTTACTAAAAATACACAAAAATTATATATGGAGTTCGACTAAGATTTTTTTTGTTATAAATTTTAAAAAAATTGTATTCTAAAAAATGATTTTATGAGATCTTTTAAAATTATATTAAAAGTTATTTTTCATAATTAATAGAATAATTTTAACATCTAATTACTCAAATATTAATCATAAAATATTCTTTAAAACAACATATCTCAAAATAATATTGTTTAGAAAAAATTACTTAAAATAACATTAAATTTAAGTGATACTTAGTTTGTTGATGGTGTATATTTATTCTATTTGATTTAGTAAATATTTACTTTAATTTCAATTGATTAGTTAACAAATAGGTTGTGATTACTAATTATATATATTTATTAAAATGTTATTACCTAAAATAAAATTAGAAGAAATTGAAAGAAAATAAAAATTAAATGACTTTTAAGTTGTAGCCTGATGGATATACGATATAGAAAAATATACATAAAATAGACCCATGTGGTAGCATATTTTTATCAAAATAGTAAACTATACATTAAATCTAGACAACAAGGAATCAAACCCAAGTACGGCTGCTGCAAATCAAATTTTCTACCACTCAGCTACGTTAGATCAGATGATAGGTAGCTAAATCAAACCTTATAAAACTACGAGAAGTGCAATAAATTCTAAACTAGAAGATAAAGTAAAATAAAAAATAAAATAACTTTATTCATTCATTTTTGATTGATTTCTTAAAATTCATTTTTGATTAATTTCTTAAAATGTGTTAAAGACACTACATATATAATTCTAATAAATTATTAATTAAAATATTCAATTATAAATAAAAATCCAATAACCATACTAATAATATAAGTTCTATTATTATTAGAGATGAAAATATGTCATGTCAATTCACAAGAACCGTTTGGTCTACATACACTTAGGTTAGATCAATTATTTGTTTTTAAAAATAGAAAAAGTCTAGATATTTTTATAAGTCTATTTAATTAAAAAAATTAAATTAGACTATGAAAAAAAGTCTTTTAAATCAGTCTATTTAAATAAATTTAATATTATTATTATATTTTATTTGTATTTTGAATTAAATTTTAAAAATAAAGTTTAGTTATCTTGAAAAACTCATGAAAATAAATTGAAAAAAACTTATGAATAATATCATATGTCATTTTCATAAGTTCTGTCAAATAAGTTGTATCAAATAACTTGTGTTAATAGTAAATTTGAATAAGTAAATGAAATAAACATTTATTCTCGTTGATCTTTTAATTTGTTAGTCTATTTAAATATTAGTAAAATTTCTTATTCACAAATGTTAAAATAAACTAGAATTTTATGTAAGTTAATAGGCCAGACCTTCTAAAAGACCAGACTTAAGCCTAAAATTAAACCTACGATTAGTCACAGGCCAGAAACTTGTTCTCAAGGTTCTACAATTATTTCCAGATTCCATTGCTTAAACTGAACAATCATAATAGAAAATTTATCTTGAGACACTGGTGGATGGTTCTCCGCGATTGCTTTCAAGTTATCAAATCATGACTCAGTCCTCCAACTCTCAATTTCAGGACCACGTTGTCCCCCATTTCTACCATTGATGCTAGATAACCACCCTTAACCCACAAAAGTTCTTTACAAGGTAGACCTTTATAGAGACACTCGAAGAGACTGAATTTAGGACCATCAGAGTCCAAAAAAACTGCAATCATAAAAAACTCTCCAATGTCTACACAAAAGATCATCCTAGGAACTTTATGATTTTCAGGTTCCCAACTCCAAGAGCATATGTACTTAGGACCAGAACTAATATTGCCACTATCACTTTCAATGCACAATAGGATCATAATCGCTAAGCTGTAACAAAGTACAGGCGGCAACACTAAAGCCTTCATTATCAAGCTCATGCAATTTACAAGAGTCGTCCGTATAAGTTCGCTCTTCCATTGCAAAGGGTAAAATGTTCAAGCAAGTCTTGTAGACACATAATGGATTGTGAGGATCTTTAAAATCCATTAACATAACATCACCAGCCCGGAATAGAAATGCAAGTCCCAAGGAATTGGGAACTTCAAAAATGTTATATGCTAGAGGTCCAGCATCAACATACTGAGAAATAAACAGAGATTGTATGTGTTTTAACATTCCATTCCAATAAAAGCAATTCATTTTGAGCAGCCCCGCTCCTATTTAGAATAATAGCTAATATAGAATAATAGCTAACCAAGAGGTCTCTTTACCTTGAGTCTGTGTCGGGCGGCCAGCACAGAATTTATCATTCCACAGCAATAGAACCAGATCTTTAACGAAAGTGGGGACAAGGTTTATCAAATCAGGCTCTACGTGAATCTCCTTCGGTTCACGTTTCTTCACTAAACTCCTCTCAGCTCTCGATTCCGATTCTATCTCTCTAAATGGATCATGAGTAATTTTATCAAACAATTCAAGAACCTCAAAGTAACAACCATGTTGTACATATGCAACCATCATTGTTGCCCACGAGACCTCATCCATAACCCACATCCGGTCAAACATACGACGAGCCATATGTATCTCACCACATTTAGAGTACATATCGATCAATGAATCGAGCCATATGTATCTCACCACATTTAGAGTACATATTGATCAATGAATTTGAAACCATGCCACAAATACCTCTCCTAACCACATAACCATGAATAGACTCACAAGAACCAATATCCTCTAATCTAGAAACAACCGGAGCCAGGTTCAAGATACTCATGATATCAGGCTCCACACCCTCCATCTGCATTTTTCCAAAACATTTCCACAGCCTCACTAGGATGCAAGCTATGCGACAACCCGGAAATCATCACATTCCGAGAAGCAGCATCTTTATTCGACATTTTATCGAACACCTTCCTTGCAGTATCCAAACGACCCATTTTACAAAACATGTTAACAAGACTAGTCCCAATAAAGAGATCACCTTCTAATCCTTTAGCAGCTATATCACGGCAAACAGAAACACCCTTTTCACAAACAATTAGAGTGTCTAGTTTGGCAACAAAGTCATCACAAAGGGAGGGTTTACAGATTTTGGAGAATGAAATTGATTTGGAGAAAAAGTCAACGCTCTCCCTTTCTTCATCAATAGCTTTAGAATGCTTCTCAATATCATCATCTCTTGTCATATTTACTGAGAATTAGTCTTTACTATAAATAGATAAATTATTTAAGTTTAATAATAGAGGATAAGTTGAATAAGTTTCATTGGTTATTATAGCTTTATTGCTTATTATTATTTGAGGTTTGCATTGAAATTGTAAGGCTTATGTAAAGCCATTGTATTTCATTTGTAATAATAAGAAGTTATCACACTTATTAATATTACTAAAGTTATTACTACTTCTTCATTTGGTATCAGAGCTCCATCACAGGGCCTGATATAGTGTGTAAACAAGCGTGTTTAAGAGGAAAAACACTAGAGTGACTGAAAGACGTGAAATGACTGAATCAAGCAATTTCAACGCACCAAGTGTGCCTAAGTTTGATGGAGACTATGACCATTGGAGTTTGATCATGGAGAATTTACTTCGATCCAATGAGTACTGGAGTGTTATTGAATCTAGAATAAAGGAATCAAAGGAGAATAAAGAGATAACTGCAACACAACAAAAGGCATTGGATGAAGAAAAACTCAAAGATCTGAAAGCAGAGAATTATTTATTTCAGGCCATTGACAAATCCATCTTAAAAACTATTACCCATAAAGAAACAGCCAAACAACTGTGGGAATCCATGAAAGCCAAGTACAAAGGAAGCAATAGAGTAAAACGTGTGCAACTGCAAAGGCTTCGATGGACATTCGAAACCTTAGAGATGAATACAGGTGAATCAGTGAATGATTATTTTGGAAGAGTGATAGAAATAGAAAATGACATGAGTAATTGCAGAGAGAATATCAACAATGTGAAAATAGTTGAGAAGATACTTAGACCTTTGACAGAAAACTTCAACTTTGTGGTATGCTCAATTGAAGAGTCTAAGGACATTGATCTCTTAACTATGGATGAGCTGTAAAGTTCACTACTTGTTCATGAACAAAAGGTAAGACGGAAACGGAGTAAAGAACAAGTTCTGCAAGTTAAGTATGACACGCGTAATAGACGTGGGGGAGGAAAAAGCAATTTTCAGAGAGGAGGTAGCAGCTATGTTAGGGGACGGAGGATGTAAGCTCAGAGAACGCCCAAAAGAGGGGAGGGGTGAGTTAGGTTCTTTAAAAGTTTTACCGGTTTTTGTTAAACATATAAAGTATTTTTATGGTTATGATGGTGTTAGAAAATGGTAAAGTGCAGAAAGTAAAAAGACACAACGATATATGCTGGTTTCCCTCATAGACCGAGAGTACTCCAGTCCTCTTACACAAGTAAGAGATTTCACTATAGTTAGAATGATTGTACAGCCTATTCACACCAATGGTGATGCTTACTATCTAACCTATAGGGAGATCAAAGGCTCTTAAAACCTTTAAGATCTAAACCACTAAGTGCAAGAAGAATAATCCTCTTCAATGCATAATTTGCTTCCAACAATCCTGGATAGCAAATATATAATAAGTGTATTTCATTTTTACAAGAGTTTGGATGAAGGTGAATAATGAATCAATCAATTGATTGATCTTCTCTATCAAATATGAAAATCAGAAACAATTACTCTCTTTTGTGCTCAAGAAAACTTTCAATATGTAATGAAAATTATGTTCATAAATCTGAATATAGAAAGATTCTTGTTAAAGTTTTGTAGTGAGTTTTTCTTAATTTGAAAGAGGTTATTTGATTTTGAAAAATCAGAAACAATTTATAGTGAAGTAATACCTTTTCAAAAATCATGGCAAAGGTTGGAGAGATTATAAATAATTGAAAGTGAAAAGATACAAGTGTTGCCATGAAGAGATGTTTCTCAAAAGGTACAGGAAAATACTGGTTTTTCAAAATCTGGGAGGATACAATCGATTGCAGTAATGATACAATCGATTGTAACATTTTAACGTTGTAAAAATTTGAAAATTTTAACTATGACAATCGATTGTCATATGGATGAAATCGATTGCATTAACTACATAAACATTTTCTTCATGTTTTTCTAAGTGTACACTCGATTGAGGAAAAGGTGCAATCGATTGCACTAGAACAAAAATTAAAAAAAAAATATTATTTTAAAAATATAGCACTTTAATTTTTCTCATTTTTTTCACCAGAATCTTTATATGCATGATTAAAAATATTTTTGAGCACTAAGATTATAAAAGTTTGAATTTTCATATACCTATGTAAAAGTTGAAATCATGAGCTTGACTTAGATCTTTTGTTTTTAAATATCTTTGTCTTCAAGCTATTGAGAATTTTGCCGTCATCAAAACATCTGTAGATCATTTGAAGAGATTGACTTCACATTCTCCCCCTTTTTGATGATGAAAAAATATTCTTCATTGGATGCTTTGTAATTTCCAAAAGACTTCTCCCCCTAAGTTTCATAACTCTCTTTTAATATGAGAAGTCCATGACTTGATTATTTGAAACTTGATTTCTTGAAGGAGTATTTGTTTGTACCTTAAAATTTGAAAACAAGGAAATATACACAAGCATACAAGCATTTTCTCCCTCTTTTGACATTATCAAAAAAAATAAAAGATGGGAAAGAAAATAAAAGTAGACACATAATATCTTGAAACATAATACGTAGAAACATTAAACTTAGAAACATGAAACGAGAAACATAAAGACTAGAAACATGAAACTAGAAGCATAAAGACTAGAAGGACATAGTAAAAACAAACTGAATTTGCGAAATGCCTAGTCATCATTCATGTCATCTTAAATAATGAAGCTTTGTATTAGATGATTTAAACATCGTTCTCATCTAAAATTCTGAGTTTTCTTCGAATTTTGAAAAATGGTTCTCTTTCCAAAGGTTTTGTAAATATATTCGCAAGTTGATTATGAGTATATACGAATTTTACTTCGACATCGCCTTGAAGCACATGATCACGTAAAAAATGATGTCGTATGTCAATGTGTTTGGTTCTTGAGTGCATGACTGGATTTTTTGTAATGTTTATCACACTTGTGTTACCGCATCGAAGAGGAATGCATCTGAGATCAAGTCCGTAGTCACGGAGTTATTGCTTAAGCCAAAGAATTTGTGCACAACAACTATCCACTGCTATATACTCCGCTTTGGTTGTGCTAAGAGCAACACATGCTTGTTTTTTACAAGCCCGTGATACTAATGAATTTCCAAGAATGTGACAAGTACCACTGGTGCTTTTCCTATCAATTTTACAGCCTGCATAATCCGCGTCAGAATAACCAATTAAATTGCAAACACTACCTTTTGGATACCATAAGCCAACATTGGTTGTCCCTTTGAGATACTTCATGATTCGCTTAACGGCCATTAGATGAGATTCCTTTAGGTTTGCTTGAAAGCGAGCACAAAGACAAACACTAAACATTATGTCAAGACGACTTTCCGTCAAATATAATAAAGAGTCAATCATACCTATATACTTTGTAATATCAATTAGAATACAGGATTCATCTTGATCAACATATGTACCGGAGCCCATTGGAGTATTCATCACTTTGCAACTATCCATATCGAACCTTTTCAATAATTATTTGTAATACTTGGATTGGTTGATGAAGATTCCATCTTTTAGTTGCTTACTTTTAAGTCCAAGAAAATAATTCATCTTACCCATCATGGACATCTCGAATTCTCCTTGCATCATCAATGAAAATTCTTCACACATTTCTTTGTTAGTTGAACCAAAAATGATATCATCAACATAGACTTGAACCAATAAAGTGTTAACTTTGAGTTTCTTAATGAACAAAATTTTATCAACTTTACCCTTTTCAAAACCTTTTTAACACAAAAAATTGCTAAGTCTATCATACCATGCTCTTGGTGCTTGCTTCAAGCCATAAAGAGCTTTTCTCAACTTAAAGACATGTGAAGGATTTTTGAAGTCTTCAAATCCCGGGGGTTGTTTGACATAGACTTCTCCATTGATGTAGCCATTCAAGAATGCGATTTTGACATCCATTTGATAAAGCTGAAAATTTAATGAACAAGCATAAGCAAGTAAAAGACGAATAGCTTCTAACCTTGCAACTGGAGAAAATGTTTCTTTAAAGTCGATTCCTTCTTCTTGATTATAACCTTGGGCCACCAATCTTGATTTGTTTCGAACAATTATACGGTTTTCATCAAGTTTGTTCTTAAACACTGTTGTACCCCAAAATTTACCCTCTCATTTATCAAATATTTTCTCACAATATCTCCTTGGGTTCAAGACTGCACAAGGATTGATCAGCTCGAGACACCTCCTTAAACACTGATGACTGAAATTAGGGTTTGAGATTGCACAAGGATAATTTAACTCTCAATGCCTCATATGACTTTCATGGATCATTATGGACCCCCAATATTACTCATGTCAAGTTTCAATCCTTGAATCACATTTTTGCTCAGTCAATTGAGCAGTTGACCTAAAAATCAGCTGTATTGGAGAAAAAGTCAACTGTGGCCAATTTACAGTCAAACTTCATAATTTTTTATCCACATCAACATTATAAACTCATATGTATCATTTGATCAAGTTTGGACCATAATTCCTCAAGAAATTTGATCAAACCATCAAAAGGGGAAAACTGTCAAAATTAGGGTTTTGACAAAGAAAGGGCAATTTCTGATTTTTGGCCTAGCAATTGGTCATTTGGTTTGAGGCATGATCTTAAGAGTTAAATTGCATCATTTTGATCTAATGGTATGACTCAAAATATTGCTCAAGATCAATTGGATCGATAGTTGATTTTAAGTCAACTGATCAAAAGTCAACTATACATTGAAAAGTCAAACCTTGACTTTTTGGTCAAAATCAAGTGCCAAAGACCACAATTCATCAAAACATGTCAAAATATGAAATCTTTTCATCAAGAAATCAAAAATTAAAGTTTTCATTTTGAAAAGTCAAAGTTTTCAAACTTAGAAATTTTTCTAAGTGTTGAAAACTTCATGTTTTTTCACAACTTTGCCAATTTTCACCATAATGCAAGATGATTCAAAAGAAACTTTCAACATGAAAGTTGTAGATCTCCATGATATCTACAACATTTCTTTACAC